CCCCCCCCCCCCCCCCCCATTGGTTTCTAATCTTAAATCTTTCTGAAAGGACTTGTGAAGCCTGAGTGTGGGTGTAGTGCTGCTCTCAACTATCCAGACAGTTTGGAGCCAGAGAATCCAATTATGTGTTCTGCCTGAAATCAAGGCAAGCAACCCAAAACATATGTTTTCTGTAAGCTGATGTCTGTTTTATTGGTGCAACTGAGACCCAAAACATCTTGCGAAAAAAAAAGGTTACTTTGTATTTTTTCAGGAAATTTTAAAGTTTTCCCACTTTGAAAGACTCTGAGTGTTTTTTGGAGCCAGCATGTAGCAGCTGTAACAAGACCTGCACTGGCTTTATTTACCTGTGGTTGTTGCTGCTTGCCTTATACAAACAGGGAACTAATGTTTTATAAGGATTTTAACGTTATTTTCTAAAGAAATGTTATAATTTGTATGTTGTCTTACTTGTACAAGTCTTGTGGTTGAATCTTCCTCTTTCTCAGGAGAATATTTGCATGCTGTCTACTTCCTGATGGTAGGAGAATGACTGAGCAATTAGAAAAAAAACGTTTTAAAAAAAACACCCACTATATTTTTCTTATAAGTCTGTAAGATATTAATATTAGACAATAAGTATATTCTTTGCTGCAATGATGAAATGCAGCCGTTCAGGCATCCATTTATGTTAATGGTCGGCTAAATTCCCCCATTTCATAATCGTCTAAATATGATCCAGCCTTTGGAAATGTTGAAAGTGTACAGAGATCGGTGTCTTTTACCATGTATAACGAACATCATCCTATGTTACTGTAGCGTGCAACACATCAGTGCTGTTGACATTGTGGAGTACTTTTCTCAAGTGTTGTGCATGGTCAAAGTAACAGTCCTTGTCAATAAATAAATGTGTTTATTGATGATAACTCCCCAAATAGCTTCTCCTGGTCTTTTTCACCACGTGGAGACACGAAAAAATTCAAATAACACACACTTTAGATATCATCTTTGCCCTCCAGCTATGGGTGCGCAACCTGTAAGAAGACACATGCTCTGAAATTGGTAGATTGTCGTGGTGAGCAAATGAGCAAACACACTTTCTATACTCTTGGACATTTCAGTTTTCAGGCCTGTCGCTTGCTTTTCTCTTCCTCCTCGATGTGACAGTTGTGACTAGAGGCTATATACGCTCAGCAGGTTTCTCAACAGAAAACACACAGAAGATCACAAGATAACACAAAAAGAGAACAAGTTGCTGCCCTGGCTCAAACCGTAGAAGATGAGAACTAAAGAGACAGAATGGCGAAAGATTAGCCCTGAGTACAATAACAGATAAGTCTTCAGAACCACAATCTGCTCTTCACCATCCGGTCTGCAGTCTTTTTGTCTGCGAGGTGAATTGTGCTCAAATTATTTCATGCTTTGCATGAAGTTGCAGTCTAGACAGCCCACCTCTGGCTATGGTCAAGCATGGGTTGAATGTCAGAGGTCCATGATCTGGAACAGCACCCACTTCCTGCAGAGAACCACATCTGAGCAGACCCCAGAGCAGTGCATCTGAAGGACATGGATATGGTTTGAGATTTGGCCCTAAAGCTCTCCCCACACCTCTCTCTGCCTTGGAGACGGCCCACTGGTCTCCCGAACCACCTTGCAGCCACTGTTAGCTGCGCTGGCTGAAGCTGTGCATGTGGGTGAGGTACTGGGTGAGATCATCCCCCCCCTCCTCCTCCAGGTGCTGCTGGTAGCACTGGAGCAGCTTGGCGGCGCTGGCCTCTGACGGGCCCCCGCCGGCTGGCAGGCAGTCCCCTGACATGTCCACGACGACTGTGGTTAAGGCTTTGATGTAATTCTTCGCCAGGGTCAGTGTCTCGATCTTGGACAGCTTCTTGTCGGTGTTGACGTGGGGGATGGCCTCGCGCAACGCTTGGAAAGCGTTGTTGAGTTTGTGCATGCGCTCGCGCTCCCTCTCGTTGCTCTCTAGTCTCCGGGCGCTGCGCTCCTTGGTGCTGGAGCCGTGCTGCCTGCGCCGCCGGCCTCCACCTCTTTTCCGCTTGCCGTCCCCGCCCCTCAGCGAACCCCTCCAGGAGCCACCGATCCGGACCGAGGCCTCCGAGCCCTCCTGCTCGCTGGAACCCGGTTCTGGTTCTGTGTCCGGTTCTAGTTCTGGCTCAGGGTCAGACCAGGTCCTCCTGGACGGTTTCACAGCCTTACCTTTGGACTTCATCCTGTGGGCCTCCTTCACCTTTCTCTCTGTGACAGTGTAGTTCTCACAGATTTAGAAAGCTGGAAGCTGGAAGAAAAGATAGGAATGTGGGAAAAACGTTGTGTTTCTGAAATATATTTATGCATTTTAACAAGAAGTGTTTTCATACAGTCTTCTCCCAGTCGGCAAGGAATCCCCAATTCCTGAATAAGCCTCTCTCCAAGTCAGACGGTTGTATCTAATCAGCCTCTTGCAGTGAGAAAACTCCATGATGTTGGTCTGTTAATCTACGCCTCTCTTATCCTCACGGCCCTGCGATAATGCCCGTTTCAAGGTTACACTCACAAAAACACAGAGGCCAGCCAGCACTCAGCTAATTCACCTCCAACAATCTTCATTCGACCCACTAGATGTTTACCTTAAAAAGATGGTGTTGATGAATGAACTTCTCGAAGTCAGTCGTGTTTGCTGTGTAGCTTTAGTTGAGTGTTTTCCACAGTAAATCCACAAGCAGTGGACATTTCTAAACCACATTATCAAATACGGTAATGTGCTGAAACTGGTCAAATGTTTCAGATCAAGCTGTTTTACACAGATTAGTGCACGTAATAAAAAGAGTTGGAAAACTCGGGTATTTCTCCATCAACATCCCTCTCTTCATTTTTCTAAACCAATATGACCCATACATTAGTGTTGTAACTGATACGAGATTAAACAGGCAAAAGTCCGTTTCCTTCACTGTAGTAAATGACAGCAGCAGCCATTAAAGTGGATGAAACAGCTTAAGTAAAACATGTTAAAGCCTTACCTTGGGAGTTGAACTAACTTTCCTCCTCCTCAAAGTGTTTACAGAAAAATCGTCACCATGCAGCCGGTCATTCAACGCACCATCATACGAAGTAAAAAGAGCGGAGAGAGCAGCAGACACACACACAAAACACACAGACACAGACACACACACACACACACACACACACACACGCGCAGATAACTGTCACATGCGAGCTACCTGTAACTGACTGATGTCCACGTCGCGCTGCTCAGCCAATCAGAGCGCGAGCCCACTCCCTCCGGCTCTGTGTGCTGCCCAAATGTCCCGGGCTGCCTCATGCACGATGTCACTAAACTACAATAAATACTCTTCATTTTAACTGCGGTGTCCAAAAATGGGCTGCATTCAATTGAAGAGAAAGGAAGTTAATCAAATACACCACTCGGTGGTGGAAAAGGTATTCACATAATTTACTAAGAATAAGTGAATAACAAAAATACTTGCTATAAGAATACATTATACATGTAAAAGTCCTGTTTTACAAGATTTATGCTCATTACTATTAATGCATTAAGCAGCACTTTAACATTGTATTAGGTCGAGGTATAGTTTATTTTAATATTGGGTAGTTTAGTCTGTGTCAATGCATCATATTTTATAATCTTATCAAATGATTTTGTGTAAAATCCAAAGAAACAGTTATTAAATAAACATAGTAGTGTACAGATTATAATATTTCCCTCGGAAATGAAGTGGAGTAGAAGTATGAAGAAGCCTAAAATGGAAATAAAGCACAAGTGCCTCAAAAGTACAGTACTTGTTATTGGCTACTTACTTTTGTGCAGATAATCAGCATGGACTTTAAAAGATGCAATGATTCAGTGTTTACATTATCGCCGTTATTTGGCACATATTGTAAGTAAATGAGATATAGTCGACAGAGTCAGAAGCACTACATTTAGTTTTCTCGTCGACTCCTTTAACTCGAAGCAGTTAACATAATTTCCATTGTGGCTTATCGCCTTCCGCTGCTTCATTTGAATACAGTCCTCCAGGCTACACCTTAATGTACAGAAGCAGGGCCAGGTCTCATTGACACTTTCTCACATTGTTTACCTATGACCAGACATACAGTTCTAAACGTTTGGGACTGGGCTGTGGCTGTCCTAGCATAATACAGATACAACTACTGTAAACCCAGCAAAAAACCCCCCAAAAAACAAGAAAAGAACACAAGTAATATTATCTTTTTAAGATAGTCACCCACACAACCCTCACCCATTTGCATGTGTGCTCTGAGTTAACTCCACCATGTCTGTTTGACCTGGGGGCCCAAGCACAACTGCTGGCAGTTTGGATTATTTGCCCTTTCCTGCTGTGATAGATAGTGGAGTGAGTCAGGCTGGTGTCATGGCAGTGAGATATATTGACTGACCATTCATCTGTTTCTGAAATATTTTTTTCAACTAAGGGAACTTAAAATTAAATGGTATAAACACATTTCAAGAAAAGTTGCTAAAGTCAATCGTTGACCATTTGTTATCATAAATTAACTAAAAGTTCTTAAATGTTTCAGAAATGCATTTAAATAGGTTTAATAATAATATGGTTTTAATGCTAATGGTGCTAATGTTGGTCTTCTTTCTACGTATGTATACATCACCTTTATGATTTCTAAGAAAATATAATGTATAGCAACAGTAAGTCAAATGTTTTATGAATTAATTAGGGGAAAATGTGGCATGTTAGCTTTTCAGCTATTGTCAATACAACCCTAACACTGATATGAGAATATCACAAACATGGAACAACAACAATAATGTACAGGTGTGAGGCTCCCAGCTCTTAGAGCCAGACATGTTTAGCTTTTAGTGTCCTTGAACAGCTTGTGTGTGTGTGTGTGTGTGTGTGTGTGTGTGTGTGTGTGTGCGCGTGCGTGCGTGCGTGTGTGTGAAAACTAAGACTGGTCCTGCCAGGTTCACTATTTCCTCCTCAGGTACACTGTATCTAATCAACCAAACCTCGCTGATGCTGGCTCTGTGGAAACACTATCTATTACTTTTAGTTTGTTCAGTTTCTGGCTCCATTGGCCCTCAGGCTTTCACTGTTTATTCAGTCACAGCTGCTGATAAATTCAGAGCTGAATACACTTCAGTAATGAGGCAAGCAAACAGGGCCTCCACAAGTATGCTCTGTTTAAGCAAAATAAATTGTCTAAACAACATATACTCCTCATATAGGTTCAACCTGGAACTTGTTGAAAACAACAATTTAATGATGAAATGTGATTCCAGACACAGATGACAGTTTTTTTAAGTTTATTTACTGGAATTGATAACATTGTGTTTCCATTTCACAGCTCAGGTCCAAGGACACAATCTGGCAGGAAAAGCAGCTTCCAAAGATGTTTGCAGCTGGAATGGTACCAGCACCGTTATGAAACACACCACAGCCTGTGATCCTTTCTTAACGACAACTGTGAAAGCTGAATGCACTGACACACAGTCCTGCGTGGCTGTGATGTCACGAACGGCAGGTGCTTTTAATCCATTTGGAGCGGAGAGAGAGAGAGAGAGAGAGAAAAAAAAAGCCATTAAAAATCCGTGACTCATCATAAAAGAGGAGGGAGGTGGGGAGATGAGTTAGAGGTGAAGATCTGGTCGATTAGTCAGTTTTTCCATGAGGCCAAGGCTGGCTGTCTGAAAGAAAAACAAGTGTGGATGTCACGTTAGGCCATGGTGACAGTGAGGTGGCCTTTGGCTGACAGCAGACGATGTGATGGAAAGGCTGCGTTTGACCACCACTGTGTCCTAAAAATCAGCACCTATATACACCTGTGTGTGTGTAGATAACTCTTTATCTCACAGCTCAAGGTCTGACTCAGTGACATGGGTGAGGAACAGGCAGGTTTGGGACAGAAAGAATCGAGCAGTGCTGCTCTGTGTCGCCAGGGACGAGGTGTGTTGCTGAGAGCGTCTGACACACTGAAAATGGCAGTTCTTCTCCAAAGCTGAAAAGTCATCGTCCCACTCCAAGCCTGCAGGCAAAACATACAATTAGAGACAACCGAGTGGCAATAAATAGCCTGCAGCATCTGGGATTAGCAGGATTTACACACACTAAAGTTTGTTAACCATTGTAGTGTCCCGCCCGGATCTTGTAACATAGTCAGAGGCCTCTTAGACAGTTAGTAAAATAATTAAATGAAAAAAATCCACATTGCAGGACAAGTTTGAGAGTCGAGATTTTACCTTATTTATCAATGAATGACAAATTTATTTATTTCCCCAGAAAATATATATAAAGTTCGGAAAAATTCACTTCAGTAAAAGTTGCAATAGCACACTGTGGTCCCCATTATGAGGGCAATTCTTGTATCAATTGTGTCATTCATTTTTGTATGTTATACACTGTTGGATAGTTTAATCTATAACGATGCATCATATTTTATGAGCTCATCATATATATTATGTTTGTAAAATCTTGAGTTCGAAGGCAACTGGTCACTATAGCTGTGAGATAAATATAGTCCAATAAAACGTTGAATATTTCCCTCTGACTACTATAAAGTGGTATGAGATGGAAATACTCACGTATTCTTAAACCTTTTCTTATTTGAGTAAATGTTCTTCGTTGCTTTCCAACAGTGCAAAATGGTCGGCCGTGTTAAGTGTAAACATGGGATAAAACATGCAAAATCACTGGTATCGTCCTATAGTACCGCTGTCTTCGAATGTGACGTCTGGCAGAGATGTGTAGGCCTCAGAGTGCAGCTCCAAGGTGGGACTCTCCTAAGAATAGCAGCAGTGGGAATCAAACAGGGAACAAAGGAAGCGTCATCGCCTTGGCTTGGCTTAACAGAGTGGTCAGTAAGTAAACCCACCGAGCTACAGTGTAACAGACAACAGGAAAAATAGTACCTGATCGAACAGGTAGACCATGACGTCATCCTCGAAGGACACGCTCTTCCTCTTTTTTACATTCGTGTCACTCCCAGACAACACACCTGGAGCGTAGATGTGACAGGACTTCAGACGACTTTTGAGGTTGTGAAAATTGTCTCTGATGACAAGTTCGTGTTGATTCCCGTTAGAGTTGCTGGTGTTTGGACCGTGGGCAGCACTTAACGCATTGTCATCACTGATGTGCCAACCAGTATCCCCTATAGACAGATTACAATCCTCAGTGTAGCAAATATCACCAAAACGTTGCAGCGGTATGTCCACATCACAGAAAATAACAACCCTATCATTGACACTGTCCTGCTGGGTCACAATGTTTGAATTCTTTTTGATAAAACTAAAAATGTCTCGCATGTTTAAAACAAGTCTCGTCCATGGGGCCTCCTTTGGGCGCTCTGAGACGTAAGAAGCTAAAGAAGTGAGCGTAGAATGATGCGGCTCCTCTGGAAGACAGCAAAGGTGAGGGGAGGTGGAGAAAGGTGATGGTCGCGTCACCATGCTTGATCTGCAGTCACTGTTTCTCCAAAGCTGAGATGATGCACTTCCTCTTTGATCAAGGACGCAGGTGATGGCCTGCAGCTCTTCATCGGCCTGGATCATCTCACCTGAGGATGTCAACAGCTGGAGCTCTTCATTCCTGTATGATGCACAACTTGTATTATGGGTTATTTCAACTGGTTCTGTTCATCATCTTGCAACAAACAAGTGAAGGACATTTTTTGGAGCTTAATGAGTAATTCCAATACATATTTTTCCCATTGTTCCTCCTGGTAAAAGGCCCTTTTCACTGAATACATTTAGACATGTCGCGGTAGGAAAAGCACAGGTGTAAGTAATCAAATTAATTAATATACTGTTGTTGGTAACACCTGTGCTTTTCCTGCTGTGACAAAGTCAAAATGTCTGCTGTGAAAAAGGCCTATGATAATATTTTACGTACCGATAATGGCTGAGACAGAAAACAGACACTTCTTTCTGGTGAGTGCAACATTATCATACCCGATAGCAGTGATGGCCAATACTACAAAAATAACACCCATGTTGTATAGAGCAGAATTATACTTTAAAGGCATGACTGTGATATAATGTGCCAGTTACCAACTTAAAGCGGCTATCATGGATATTTCTACAATGTATCAAATGACAATGTGAAAACAACGTGACAGTGTGAAAGGGGGGGTCGCTCGTAGATGAACCTACGGAGAATCATCAGAGCTAGTGAGTTTCAGCTTGTTGTTTAGCTACGGCCAACAACTTTCCTGTTTTGGTTTCGCTCTTACCGCTCTCATAGCATCATTTTTGGCCTCAGCCGGCAGCTGTTTTCAATGAAGAAAGCTCTAAAAGCACACTGAACAATACCTACCTATCCCCAGCAGACTGACACAGTCAGCGACTAGCTGGTGAACATAGCGGAGGATTTAACAACTAAAGATCCAGAAATTTCCCTCAGGAGTTGGTAGAGACCAAAAACAGAGCTAAAAGAGAGTGAATAGTGGACTTACAATTGCCATGTGGCCATGCATATATGAAATTTAAAATAACTGTTTGGTCACACCTTGTCTAAGTTCAACACTTCCACAGGCTATGTTAGCTGTAGAGGACTAATATTTAGCCTGGTCTAGGTTTAGATAGCTTGGTCTTACAGTAGAGAATTATGTATTTGACAGTTACATTTTAGGAGTAGTTATCAATATCAGAGTAACATACGCTAGTTTTAAATGGCACCAGCAGAAGTGGCAATTGTCACGAGACGACATGTTGTTTGCAACTGGCATATATCAATAAGAGTCTTTGTGTCACACCAATAGTCAAGACTGTTGACAAAACCTGTATGTTTTTAAGGATAATGCCCAACGCTGAAAGTCACTTGCATGTTTTAGTTTCAGGCCAAAGGGTACTCGGTTGTGGTTGGTGTACATTTGCTGGCCCTTTGACCTTAGATTATTTGTAGTCTCTGTCTGAAGATAATCTCCTTTTACAAACAAACATATTTCCATGGCAATGTCTTCTTTCTCTCTCTCTCTTTTTGATCCGTTTGACATTTCAAGAGGTGAGCTGCAGTGCACAGACCGCCCCACAGGATGTACTCAAACTGATTCGTCAGCCTTTGTGAAACACGCACACAAGACACGCACACGCATTATTTGGCCACTCGCTCCTGAGCCTGAATAAATATCGGGGACCCATCCATCCGCGGAGACAAAGGCAATAGGAAACTTTCAACGCTCTGCAGTAACCAAGCAACCGCTGGATGAGTGACTCAGGAGAGGAAGAGAGGAGCTGACTCACAGCAGCTGTGACGTAAAGGGTGTAAAAGGACACACACACACACACAACTGTATGGTCTCACACACGCATGCAGTAGGCCGTGAAGCCTGTAAACTGCCCTTTTTCGGGTAAGTTAACACCTTGCTGTGTAACAGGTGGAGGGGCTCAGGGAAAAAACAGATCACAGTCACTTCCAAACGACCAAAACACAAACACACACTCAAATCCCCACAAAGCAGCCAAAGCTTCCACCAATTACAGTGATAGATCTAAATAATACCTTTTCTGGATTCCTTTGTCACTGCACCTCCTTTTATAAATCCAATTCAAACCATCCAGTGAAATCACCAACGTAGCTCCATCCCCGAAGTATTTCAACTCTGTGAAAAAGAGAGAGGGACATGTCTATCATCTGATATGCATTGCCCCGAAATCTTGCTGCATCATGATGTTGCACAATGTGTTGCAACACGTTTTAATCTCTCTGCGTCCAACCATGTATGACACCAGCATATTTCTTTTCCTACCTTGCATCCTGTGAGCCCCACTCCTCCCCCCCCGACTTTTAGTGCAGGGCAGACGCCTCATTCAGGGCCACCGAAAGAGACAAGCTAAACATATGGGCAGAGAGAGAGAGAGAGAGCGAGAGAGCGAGAGAGAGAGAGAGAGAGAGAGGGATGCACAGAAAAAGAGAGGAGGGGAGGGAGCCATCAGATGGAAAAGAGGGTGACTGAATGAGGGGGGGAGGTATGTGGGGGTGAAAGAAGAGTGAAGGGAGGTGATGAGGAGGAAGGGGAGGGCTATGAGGACAATGAAAGGACAAAGTGCTCACATATACAGCACACTCCCTGGAGGCTGCCGGCCTTTCTGCCGCAGCAGAGTGCATGATGGGGATCAATAACTTATCTGGTCTAATGTAACACAACTGCCTGCCTGAAGGATGAGAGTAGCAGCAGAGCGGATGTCACAGTGACGCAGACAAGAGTTGCTCTACATTTTTCTTAATAATATTACCTTGCATACATTGAGCATTGAATAATTGAAGGATTCCTGTTGGTTTGTTGTATAATATTTGCTTCAGAAGGTTGTCTTGTAAGGAGCTCTGTTTCTGCCAGGACCTGTTCCATACATTTATAAAGTCATAACTGATTACTCCTCACCACTTGATAAGTATAATTTATTGTGAAATGGTCCCATGACACAATCGAAACTCCTGTACGTACTCCATAACAGTAGAAACTGTACATTTTCTGATTTGTCATTGTATTGAAGTACATTATTCATGGGCTCACTATTTGCCCCTTAGTCGATATTTTTGCTGAATGGTCTCCCCAGATGCAACAGTGAGCATTAGCTCCCTCTATAGGTTTAAAGCAGAACAGCAGGCAGTTTTCGTCAGAAATGCAGAGAAGAGAACTGCAGCTGAGGCATGTTTCTCAGGCTTACCCCAACAAAAACAAAACTTACCAGGTAATGACGATTTAGATATTTGGCTGATAGATATAAATGACAATTAGTATGAAATAATGACATTTTAACGTAGCCCTATGTACACTTTTAACCACTATGTTACTGTTAATGATGCAGCTATAACAAGGTTTTATTAATAGAAACAAATATACAACTGCTAATGCTGCTACATCCTTAGTACTGTTATCATCCCTACTGCTACTGCTGTGGCTCAGTTGTACTGTTAATCCTCATCATCATGGAACCTCCAAGCGCCCACATTTATTAGGAAGTTCCTGCTGGTATGGTCCTCCCCTTGGCAACAAAATCACTGATGCTGGAGTTCTGCTTTTCCCACCCAGACAGCATCAGGATGTTGTTCCCAGGAGGCAACAATGTCACCATTCAGTCCGCCTCTGCTTCCCGCCAGAGGGGAAATGACAGAGAAAAGAAGGGTGCTGAAGCAAGAAGAGACACAGAGACGGACAGATGGTGTCCGCCCTCCCCCTTCCCGTCACTTCCCTGTAGGCCTACTGTCGTCCTCCGAGGCATCACATCACCCAGCAACCTGCAGCCATGGAAGGCTACCAGGTCAGCCGGTGCACTCTGACTGCTCACAGTACAGTGTTTCAGTGCAGTCAACTCTTTTTTTCACTGGACATTGCATGTACGTGTGAGGACGTGATATGGTCGCCGGAGCTGACAGCTTTTCTCATTGGCACAAAATGTGAGCTTGTTCCGGCACATTCTATTTTCACATTGGAGGAATGATTGATGCGCGCTCTCTGAGTCGCTCATAATACGATATCTCGTCGACTTCTGCACCCAAATGTCAGATGAATGAGTGGCACCTCTTTGGTTTCAGGCCTTCTGACTGACCGGGAGGAAGCTGAGGAAGCCGAACAGTCGTACGTTATTATCTGCTGTGGTTAATTTAACCAGAAGAAAGCAGTCAATGTCATTTAGCCACTGATGTATTTGCTCTTTCAGCCAGAGGTGTGCTGAAAGCCATCAAGCGGGCGATTTTGGTTCACAACCAGCCCGCTGTTTCAGCTGCCCAACTCTCTCGTCATGATTTTGGTTCACAACCAGCCCGCTGTTTCAGCTGCCCAACTCGCTCGTCATGATTTTGGTTCACAACCAGCCCACTGTTTCAGCTGCCCAACTCGCTCGTCATGCTACAGAGAAATATCTCAATCCCACAATTCCCTGCAGCATACAGGGAAACCTGAGCCGGGGGCATCAACAGCATGTTTTGCCAAAGAGGGTGAGAACAAGCCCAAGCACCAAGGTGACACCTCAGCTTGAATTTTTACTTAATTCGTTTGGTCCTGCTATATCTCACTGCTCCGATTGAGCCGTAACAGGCTCTAACTGGAACTATCCTTTTACACTGCAGGCGCAGAATCATCATATCCAGCCTGCGAGTGACACCAAACAATCCGTGCGAGGAGTGTAATTGGAGATCTTTGGGCTTATTCTGAGCACGCAGGATACACCAGGCTTGAGGCCTGAAGAGGCCCACATGGAGCTGAAGTCACTGTCCTCCACCAATAGAATGGGGCGCTGCAAAGCGCCATGGGTAATACGGAAAAGGCAAACACTCAGTCAGAACGCCGGTAGGGCTGTTTGCAGCCTTTATTTGGACACAGCTTACAGCTGCAGAGGAGAGGGGTTCGAGAGGGGTTGGTTGAAATGTGACACTAAAATAACAGCATACAGAATGCTAAACATGTCACTGTTGTGTACATGTTTGTTTAAGGTAATACAATTGTAATGTGCTGTCGAGTAAGCACTGTTTTGCAGCCTTCATATCTTCAGTGACAGAAGCTGGGGTTCAGTTCTGCATTGGGTTTTGTTGCAGAGCAGCACTGGTTGCGCTGCATACTGGTGAGCAGTGCCTTAAACTCCTTTTAAAAAACATTTATCAATGGCTTTTTTTCTCTTAGGCAGGAGATTATAAGGTCTTAAACGTGTTTGCTGACAGAGTCTTTAATATGATGACATAAATGTGTAATCCACCTCAGATCCCTGGCAGAGTATTTATGAGCCTCTGTTGACAGCAGTACACCTGCTCTTCCTCAGTCCAGACCTGGGAGCTCTGCCTGCCCTGAACTAGCACCACTGCTGCCAAGGGCACTGCTATATTGGGAGAAGTGTAATGATGTGTGTGAGTGTAACGAGAGGGGGGAGTGTGTGTTTGTATGACAAGGTGTAGAGAGACAGAAGGGGAAGGAGCTGTGTGAGTGAGGAAGGGGTCTGTGTTGGTGTCGTTACAAAGGTGCCCTCCGTGATGCTAATGTAAAGACGCACACTGAATTTAAGTTCTGCTGGGTTGTAAAATGCGTTCAGTTAGGGAATGTCACTGATGAATGTGCACACACTAAAGCTCTCATTTGCATGGATTTCTATTTCAGCTGTGACAATTTGAGTGTCAATATTAATTCACGTGTATTATTCAAATACATACGTACGTAAATAGCACGAGAATGTATGTGTTAATTAAGATTTCAGTTGTGTTGATCAAAATGAAAAGTGTTGCTGAACCTAAATTATTGATCGGACCCATTTTCTATTTTTTCCACTGTTTGCGTGTATTAATTAATTTGTTATTATTATTATTATTATTATTATTAATCCATCAACATGACGTAAGATCAGAAATAATGTTTTCCAGTTACTGAAAACCTCTTTTTCTGCAGCATATGTCATTGCAGTGTTTTACCACTAGGGGGCAGTAGAGTGTCGCAGTTGGCCCAAGTGGGATATCGGGTTGACGATTTCTGGAGCACACACACACAAACTCAAACTTGTTGGGAGAAATAAAGACATAGCAATGTTTTAAAAAAACATATAATCAGACTTAAAATTGTTTCCTTTGCTTTTATTACTTTTACGATTCTCTGATCACACCCGCACTAGTCCTGGTACCGAACATACAGCAAAGAGCCAGAAAGAGAACAGCTTTTAACACGAAACCATTGCATCAGTGTGGCAGTGGTGAAAGGCCTGTGCCTGTCTGTCACTTCATGTGGGCCCATTTCTGCTTCTGCAATGTCTGCAAGAGTGTATGTATGTAAACACTTACCTCATCCCGCCCCGTAACCACAGTTAAGGGAGCAGCTAAGCAGGGCGGAACGATATTTCAGCAATAACATAAAGTTAACACAGAGTTGACACGTGACGAGGAATTGGTTTGACATGTCAGGACTGCTGACCTCTGACCTCACACACACACACACACATGCACATAGGCACACATGCTTGAGCACCAGCGGGCCGAGACAGCTGTGGGGCTCCTCGAGTGGTTTAAAGTGTTTATAGAGGAGCTGAGTTTGAGCGCTCGTTGACAGAGCTCTCATTTACAGACACACACACACACACACACAATCCTGAGCAGATAAGATCAGATCTGTTTCAGCGGCCAATCTTAAATGTGATGAGGTTTACAGAGGCCTGTGACATTGGAATATATATATCTTTATTTGGGAATCAGATGCTGCCTGGGGGTATATCACACTGCCTCACACTATAGGAACAGGAAACAGGACACCAGGCTTTCATGTCAAACCCTTACTTTTAAATGGAGACTTATTTGGGCTTGTAGATCCTTTGTCCCCTGTCGTATGGAGAAAAAGTTGTTCAGAGGGAATAGATGTCAGGGGAGGACATAGCTTCTGTGTCCCGTACATCCATGTGTCCAGCACACCTATAAATCAAGACCATGCCTCTCTCTCCCTGACACCACTATCTTTGCTGAGAGCTCAACCTCCACTCCTCTCCCCAGAAACGCCCGAGGGAGTCCCTATCTCCCCCCTCCTAAACCCATCATCCCTCTTACCCTGTCTTGTCCCAGCACACAGATCTTATCGCTTGCATTCTAAGCTGGCTGGTATTCATCGGGCCCCGATCCAGTTGCACAGCAGCGACCACATTTAAGTCAAAAATGTAATGAGTCAGTATTGTCCCTCAGCTACAGCTCAAACAGATAAGAAATAGAGCAGCCCAGATGCAGAAGTAAGAAATGGCTGCACTTCTGTGCATTTGACAGGCATTTCATATTTGCAGTTAATCTACCAGGCAGAGGAGGATCAACTTCCCTCCAGCCTGTGATAGACCAGGACAAACCCAGATCCTTGCTTCCTGCCACCTCGGCAACATACAAGCAGGTCTTTTCTTCTTAAAGGGAAAGCTTTGACATTTAGGGAAATATTCTTATTGGCATGATTCATACTGATCTCACGTCTATACGCTAAATATGAAGCCACTAGCTGGCTAATGTAGCTTCGCATTAATTCTGGAAACAGAGGGAAACAGCTGGCGTGGGTGTTATGTATGCTACAAGACTATTTATGAGCCAGTACCAGTTACAAGACAACCAGGAAGTTACTGCTCCTGGCCATGAAATTGTTGTTGTTTTTACACTTTGGTTAGAAAGCCAAGCTAGCAGTCTTTGTGCTAAGCTAAGCTAGCTGGTTGCTAGCTGTATCTCTATAATCAGCATACAGATATGAGATTGGATTCGATCACTTCATCGTTAACTCCGGCAAGGACACAAAAAAGTGCATTCCTCAAATTGTCAAAGATTTTCATGGGATACCGAACTGTTTTTTTTTCTTCTTCTTCTTTTATATATATATATATATACAGTATATATATATATATTAATGGAATGTTGTTCTCAGACTCTATCCAATCAGGAGGATAATCAAACTTGCATTGGACGTCATTGTCCACAGGTAACTGTCAATCAAATTCATCCTCAAAAAGCTACTCTTGTACTTTTACTTGCAGTTTAGCACAAAAGATTGTAAAAAAGTGCTTCAGTTATTTTTACATACAAATGAGGAGAGAGAAGAAACTGTTAGCGAGGGTGGAGCTTAGAATGTGTGTTGGAGGGGGCGTCTTGGCTGAATTCAAGAGTGTCACTGGCATGCCCACAACACAGCTGTAGATAGAAATAGAAGAGGCCGTAACTGAGTCCAGGAAAACAGAGGAGCAACCACTTTCCTCGGGGATGCATGTATGGATGAACAAGTCTCCCTCTCTGGGAAGTCGAACGCTTCAGATGTCGCAGGGGGACTTAGAGATTTAGTTCAGCATGCAGCAGGATATTATGTCGAACCTGATGCCATTGTCATCCATGTGAATTAAGGTGGCTTACAAGATGAATTGTTTCTGCTGAAGGCATTAAACACAGAGTGACGTTTGAAATCTGTTGTAAATATCTTAACTGTTGAATTTCTCCACACAGAGAAGGTTAAAGGTCACTGTGACCATCAAGGGAAACATCATGCGTTCTCTCATGAACGTCTCATTGAAATGGATTTTTTTTTTTTCCCATAATGCAAAGATATGTGAAGGTTATGAACAGGTCACTGAACCTGTCAGGATATACATCAACAACCACAACGACATAATCAAATAAAAAGGTTCACTGAGAAATATTCAAAGTACTCATGAAAACGATTTAATGGTTAATGGGGATAACACACACTTACTGATTGTGGTGAAGCTTTCATAAGTTGCTAAAGTGAATGGGAAGGACAAAAAGGACAAAAAGGGCAAAGATACTGGTGAATAGCGTGAGAAATAAACCCCACAGGCTGTTTTCTACAGTGAACAATTTGCTGCTGTTCAGCAAACTTTGTAATTAATCTATTGTAGCTTTTACCTAAATGATGCATGATATAATAATAGATTACTTGTTAATTTACGAATAAAATGTTGACTATACAGGGGTAAAACCAGCCAAATTTCACACAATAAATCCCTATATATGTCAATATGTGTGAATTCATACATGATACATCCTGTCAAAGTGTCCTTGGGCAACACACTGAATGTCTACCAGCTCACTCAATGATAAGATGAGCGTTGTTTCTATAGATAGGCAGACTTCTACAAACCAATTCAGTGCAAAACAAGAATGTATTCAATACTGTCTAGTTCTTTCATTTGCGTAAAATGCGACCTACCATCTGTTCTTGTAATACTTACCTCTGCTGGTTTCCGTGTGCCGATTGTCCCATTGCTCACTATTTCCCAACACAAATGGAATAAAACAGGACAGTTTGTATGTCAGGCATGTAAAAGTACAAGATTCCAGGTCCTGCGTGATTTCGATATGTACACTAAATGGATTTATTTTCGCTCAAATTAAGCACAGAAGCGCATTAGATTGCTTCCTGTCCGCTTTGCTCGCAAAAGACAAGACCTCTCTTCAAGTGCAAGACACAAGAAAGAAAGTAAAAGTTGTCTATCAACGCAAAAGATTTTTACTGTGGTCTTCCCCGTTCATGGTTCTCACACTCCTTACAGCCAATGCAACAAACCAAATCACTACGTGCAAGGGACCGTCAGCCTCATCTCTATCCATCTCTCTCTGTGTCTGTCTTTTCCTCTCTGTCCCATCCCCCCCTTCCTCCTCTCATCCAACGCTCCATCACACAGGAAGCCTGGTCTTCCTGAAAGCAAGTATTGGAGCGTGGAAAGGGACAAGGCTGAGGGGGGGGCAGGTACGTGAGGGGGAGCAGAGGATGTTTTTGTTGTTCCTCTGCCCCTCTGGTTGCTGCAGGCCTCACTGTAGTCCATCCTGAGGAAACCAGGCTCACGTCACTCTAAAAAGGCCTTGAGCCAACGGGGCTGCCTGTCACGGCCGGTTTGACGCAGCAGCTGCAGCGCTCCAGCAGCCCCCTCACACATGGGAGCTGTAAAGACATATGTGGGATTAAAATTTAGGAAAACACTGCTTTTCAAATCCTAGTGGCATTGGCAAGCAGGAAAGGTCGACACAAAGTCACAACGAGTGCATTTCAGTTACACAAAAGGGGTCAAATGTGGTGAGGAAAGATACTGGGAGGAGGGTGTGTGTTTTGCCAGAACAAAAGTCTATAACTTTGCCAATCAACCGCCCTCCATTTCCTATATTTAATAGTTGCAAACTGCCAAACCACCTGCAAGTGTGGGAATTCCTCAGCAGGTGGTTTTCCAGAGACTCCATCGTTATTGCAAATCAAAAAAATGTACCTATACCACTTGTGTTTGCTGTCTTTTGTTTGCAGTTTCAATGTTAAAATGAAAAAAAAAAAAAAAAATGTGGCTCTGCCCCACAGCAACATGACTCAACAATATGCGGTCACCATGAGGTAATTTTAGGTTTTAATTTCATTTAAACCTCCCCAATAGTCAGATAATAACTTTAAATTTAATAGAAAAGTTTTCAAAATCTCTGTATTAGACCAGTAATTAAAATGTTTTCATCTAACATATGATATATCTGGTTGCTCGACACCAACGTATGCTGCAGCTTGTGACTGCTTTCGATTGGATGGTGCTATAAATATTCTCTAGTTGTGTCTGATTCACAGTCTTTACTTCATTTCTTAATGGTGTAACCTGATTAAGTAAGTTTGAACCTATAAACGTTATGTAATAATAATGTACATAGTTAACAGCTATTCACATTAATATTATTTTACCCAAATGAACCCACAGTGTGTGAGTGTGACTGTCACGATATATGTCTGTAGCATGTTTAGCATCTTTTTAGATGAACACCCGCTCGTTTGAGAGCTCTCGTGCTAAATGTAGCATATGGGAACAAGGTGACTGTGAGTGGAGACAGCTCCATTGAGCGCAGCCTGAAAGTGACAGAGGCCATAATAACAGGATGTTTACAGCCGATGGAAACGCTGCCAGGGATTTCCACAAGCAGGCAGCGAGCAGCGAGGAAATGCAGGCCAGCCAGGTTCCCCCCAGATGCACCAAATATAACCTCACTGACTGTATAGACAAATGTTACCCGACTGGGGGTTTGTTCAGGTGGGCTTAAAACCACATTGACCTCTGACCCCTGGAGAAACCTCTCTTGAAAACACAGTTGTGCAGTGACAAGATTCTCCGTCTTTCAGCCTCCCTTTCACACACACACACACACACACACACGCATGCACACACACACACACACACACACACACTCACGCACACACTGTTTGCTGAAGTGGTCAGCTGCAGATGACAGTGGACAGAAGGACACTGGTGGTTTCTGACACTGGGTGTGGGGGGGGTGAAAACCTAGTCATTGTAACCAGTAGTTTCTTTCTGCTCGCCAGTGGTCACATATTGCACCAGGCTACCACATCCACCACAACAGAGTCTCCACCACCATGGCTATCACCGACTATCTTGCAGCCTCGGACATCACATCGGCTATTAATGCGTGTAAAGGTGAGGAGATGCTTGTGGAGATTAAAATGAGCATGTCCTGTGTCTTGCTCTTTGTCACGGGACGTAAGGCCTTTGTTTCTGCGGTTCACTGACCTCAAAGTAACATCATCATTTTAACTGCTTGGATCTAATTCAGTTTTGCCTGTGATTTGACTTTCAGCGAAGGATTCCTTTAGCACGAAGGAGTTTTTCAAGACAGTGGGTTTATCCAAGAAAACTCCAACAGAGATTGAGAAGGTCTTTAGGATTTTGGACCAGGACAAAAGCGGCTTCATAGAACAGGATGAGTTACAGTTGAGTTTTATACACAGAAAATATATATTCTGTCCCATCTATAATTCACAAGTAGAGCTGATGTATCTCATCATGGCGGGAGGTAGTTTTCCGCAAATTAAGCACATTCAATGTCTCATAACATTCTGTTCCCTTGTGTTTGGTGTCTTTTTTTTTCTTCTCAATGTGGTGCTTCATCCCTGTTCATCAGACTGTTCCTGCAGAACTTCTCCAAAGGAGCGAGGCACCTGACTGTAGCTGAGACCAGAGGCTTCCTGCTGGAGGGAGACGCGGACGGAGACGGGAAGATAGGCTGGGAAGGTAAGAAGGTCTGAGCACTTAACTGTAGACGGCATGAGGAAGAGGAGCACTGCATTTCTTACTAACTCAGAGGTGACAGAGAATCCCATGAGTTCAAGCTGAGAGTGAAGAATACCACACATTTATCAAGCTTATTACTACTTATAATAAAGTGTAGGAGTAACCTTTGAGAGCAATCTGAGCGATCACATGATTTTTCATATTTATGCTAAGAGCAAAAAATAGCCAATCAGATACCCTTGTATCTGATTGGCTATTTTTCACCCTGCATCTACCATATTGTTCATTATCTTTACATTTTAATCTGTGATATGTTATGCAGCAAAAACACACGGTTATATGGGCTCATGTGTCTGGAAATAAAGTTGAATGATATAAAACAAGTGAAAATTAAATTGTGAATAATAATAATAACATGAAAAACAATTGAAGAAATAATAGAGAAATAGAAACAAAAAGAAAACCAGCACCGTCACTTCATCAGCGAAAACAGATACTACAGGAAATGTTGTGTCTCATTGTGAATTATACATGTTGTGTATTCATGGTATGGTGTTTTTGACTGTGTTGCTAGGCAGCTTGAGTGCAGCTACATAACAATGACCTCATACAAAGTGTCACTGCCAGAGCTGAACACTTCAGTCTGTTAGGTGTTTGTCGTCGTTGGGCTTTAATCAAATGAATGAATAGATGACGATTGCCTGGTGAATGTGAAAGAGCAAATTTAAAAAATGTCTTCTGTCTGTCTTGTTTTTCAGAGTTTTCTGCGCTGGTCAAGTCTTCATAAAACATGCGTGACCCATGTGTTTTGTTGTATGGTGACAATCTCAGGGTGGACCTCTTTTTGTAATGTTAACTAGCTGCAGTAAATTACACAGACTCATCCAGAGATTTTATGTGTTTAGAATAATAAGTTGTAGTTAACGGAATAAAGTAATTAAAAACATGAAATCTTGCGTCTCTGCTATGTGTCTTTCCCTTGCCAAGTGGTGAAATAAATGTTCTTTTCTCTGTGAGACGTTGCAGTGTGTTTCTTCTCTCTCGCAGACATGAGCAGAATCCTGTCATGTACCTCGTGTTATGATGTCATATTGAGCACTGGGGAGAGGTCCAGCCTGTCCAAGGGGGCTGGGAGGCTTTGGTTTCTCCAATTAACGGCATGAGCCGCTCTCCACTGTGCAAATGAAAGTGTTTGTCATTCTGGCAACCTCAATTTGACACCTTAGATGGGGTTATTTGGTACGACTTATATGTTTGCACTTAGACAACATGAACTCAACATATCAACTGTTATCTTTGAAATAGAGACAATTGAAAGATGACTTTGATATTTATCACCACAACCAAATAAATTCATACTTTGCTTCTGCTGACTTAATTCGATTTTTAACAAGCTCAGTCATTAATGTCTCTGCTCTGAGATTTGACTGTGAAAATGATTTATTTATAGCTAATTTATTGTAACTAAGAAGTATTTACTGGAGTAAGAGTACATCAATGTGAAATACAGCATTGCATTACAGCAAAGTAAAAGTGCAGAAGTATTAGCAACAAAAAGTACTTCAAGTAATAAAGTAAAACTTCTCATTGTGCAGAATAGCTCCTGTCAGTGTGTTATCTTGGTCATTATCATAGTTGGCTAAGATGGAAGTCATTTTGACTGCTTTCAGCAGCTATCAAATACACACATACATATCTATAATGTATAGTATTATAAAAGAAAATGTGGAATTAAATGGAAATACTCACATCAAAGTACAGGTACCTCGAAATTGTGGTAGATTGGTGTGAATTGCAGATGGGGGGGGGGGGGGGGGGGGGGGG